CTTCTAAGCAAAAGCCTATGCAGTTGGCTGTCCACATCCATGAGTTCCACATCTGCAGATTCAAACAACCACAGTTCAAAAATACATAGGAAATAAATATAAAATAACACTACAACAATAAAAAATAATACAAGTAAAAAAACAATACACGATGGTAACTATTTATATAGCATTTATATTATATTAGTTGTTATAAATAATCTGGAATGATTTAAAGTATACAGGAGAATGTGCATAGGTTATATATAAACACTACATCATTTCATATAAGGGCTGTGAGCCATCTTGGGGGCTTCTGCAGCCAATCCTCCACTCCTACTGAGGAACAACTATACCCATATCAGTTCATGCAAACAGATTCTTGCAAAGGTCACAGGTCCGTCATCTCCACAAACCACTGGATTGTGAATCTCAGTTTGTGCTCCCCAGGGAACCCTACCACACTATGAGAAGAATCTTTCAAAATGCTTGTGGTTATCATATTTAAGACACATAATTAATTATAGTCAGCATTGATTGAGTGTTGACTGTATGCCAGACATCATTCTAAATGTTTTACATGTATTTGCTCATTTGATTCTCACCAATAACCTGACAAGGCAGGCACTGTTATTATTCTCTTGTTACAGATAGGGAAACCTAGGCACAAGGAGACTATCTAACTTTTCCAAGGTATATAATTACTAAGCGGCAGGGATGATGATCTGGCTGCAGGGCCCACTCTCTTAATCATGCCCCTCAGTAGGTAGCTAACAGGCTGCCTTGTCAAAAAACATTGGTAAAAGCACGAAATCATAAAACTCATACCGTACACATTGTTATACACAGAATTATGCCCCCCAAATTCATATATTGAAGTACTGACCACCAGTACCTTAGACTGTGACTGGAGATAGGTTCTTTAAAGAGGTAATTAAGTTAAAGTAAGATCATTAGGCTGGGCGCTGTGGCTCACTCCTATAGTCTCAGCTACTTGAGCAGCTGAGGCAGGAGGATCATTTGAGCCCAGGTGTTTGAGGCTGCAGTGAGCTATGATTGTGCCACTAGCCTGGCTGACAGAGTGAGACTACATCTCCAAAAAAAAAGTCATTTGGGTGGGCTCTAATTTAATATAACTGATGTTTTTATAAGAGACTAGAACACAGACACACACAGAAGGAAGACCAGGGAGAAGAAGACATCCCTCTATAAGCTAAGGAGAGAGGCCTCAGAAGAAACTAACCTTGCTGACACCTTGATCTTGAACGTCTAGCCTCCAGAATTGAGAGAAAATAAATTTCTGTTGTTTAAGCCTCCTAGTCTGAGGTACTTTGTGATAGCAGTCCTAGCAAACTAATACAAACATTTTAACTTTAAGTTAAAACATTAAACTTCATTCATTTGTCAATCTTTTGATGAAAGGCTTAGTCATTTATTCTGAATTAGTAGCCACTAATAAGAACATTTAATTTTTTTCTTGTATTAACCAAACCCACAAACCACACACAGTATTACTTATGATTTTCTCTTCTGGTTTCTTTCAGATGCAGAGAGATATTTAAGATAACATGAACCAACTTACATGCAGAATTTTAGATTTGCGTAACTTGTTTTCAATCTTTTCAGTCCCAACTGTTTCCTATTTTGGCAATCTTTTAGCCAATTCTATTTATCAAGTCTTTGCAGAGCACTTATTGAAACTATTGATTTCTGTAATATATCTTTCATCACTTTATATAATATTTAATTAAATCATATGAACAAATAATACAATTGTTACAAACAGGTTAAAAACTTACTATTGATAAGCATACAACTCAATTTGTGTGATGTGATGTATAGAAGCAACTAGAAAGTATTTTACTAGCTGCAGATTTTGGTGAGCTGCAGGCATCAGTGCATATGTTTTACAGAAAGCCTACAGAGTCAGTTAGGGTAGCTTAACAGACTTTATTCTGTATTTAGAAGCAACAGCATGACATTTCCAAGAGAAACATTATTTGAGAAAAAATCTTCACAAATGCTCTAAGTTTGAAAGTCACAAAACATTGCTTCAGGTGCATTAAAAATGAAGGTGTAATCGTTATAAGTCATTCAGGTCAAGTTTATTAATTGTGTTACTGTAACCCTCACTGACTTTTTCTGCTTGTTCTATCAGATATTAAGAGAGATATGTTAAATTCTCTGTATCTATAGATGAATTTATTTCTTCTTTTAATCAAGTTTTTGCTTTATATATTTGAAGACTCTGTTCTTAACTATGTTCTTAGAAATTTAGGATTATTATATCTTCTTGGTGTATTGCCATTATAAAACATCCCTCTGAACTTATTGTAATTCTTCTCACCTTAAAATTTTCTTTGTATGATGTTAACATAGATATACCAGCTTTAAATTGCTGTTTACATGCTATATATTTTTGTACCTTTTTTTAACTTCAAAGTTTTGTTTAGTTATACTTAAAATATATGTCTTATAAGCAGCATATTGTTGTGTGTATGTTTTTAAAGTCTGATGACTTTAGTCTTCTAAATTAAATATTTTGTCCGTTTATATTTAATGTAATTACTAGTACATTTGATTTTAAACCTACCATTTTATTATTTGTTTTCTATTTTACTTTTGTTAGTTATACAGGCTTCCGCTATTTTTAGTGGTTACTCTAAATATTACAACGTGCATATTTAACTTAAAAAAGACTGACATAAATTAGTACTTTTGCTATTTGCTATGAATGCAAGTAACTTAGGACTTTAATGCCTTTATCTCCATCCATATTTTGTGCTTTCGAAGTCATATATTTTGATTCTACATGTATCCTTTAACCCCACAAGATATCATCATTCTAATTATTTAGATTTACTCCAATACATAGTCTTTGACTACTAATGATTCAACTTATGATTTTCTGACTTTAAAATGGTAGAGAAGTGACCATTCAGTATGCTTCTCAACTTATAATAGGATTGCATCCCGATCAACTCATCATAAATTGAAAATATATGAAGTTAAAAGAGCATGTTCTACTTATAATAGTTTCAATTTATGATGGGTTTATCAGGATATAATCCCATCATAAATTGAGGGGCATCTGTATTTATCCTTTCCATTTATTTGCATTCCATTTTAATTTCTTTATTTCTTTCTGTGTTCCCATACTCCCATCTAGCATTTATTTTTCTACCATTAGAATTTCCATTAGAATTACCTTAGTGAATATCTGATGGCTCATCTCTTGGCTCTTTCATTATTTTAAACACCTTGAACTTTCAATTTCTAGCTGCTTATAGCTCTCCAATGTCATCAAAATGACTTTTTACGTTTATCCAGCATTTCAAATTGTATTTCCTGAGTAGACTGTAAAATTTCTTGGTCAAAATTATAGACATTTTAAAGCTCTGAAGTAGTTTTGGCCTATTGTCTCCAGAAAAATTTGGCTATTTACATTCTAATAATTAAGATTAGTTTTAAGTGAATAGCTATATCTTTATTTTTTTAATTTGAGAAGAAACAAGAAAATATTTTTATCCTAGAAAAGATTTTTCTCCAGCCATATAGCCATAAAATTTTATTAATGGAATTTTTATTTTATTCTTTGCACACAGCAAAAGATCTCTTTGGGATGGATTCAAAATATATTAAATTTCACCCATAAAGATCTTTCATTCCTGGGAACACATTTCAGTTTATATCAAAGAGGGGGTTCCCACGAAATTCTTGTTGTAATCTTAAATGCAATTGCTTCAATAATTGCTGAAATAAAGGTCTGGTGAGTAAAGCCTAGTGAGCAGAAAAGTAACTTAAAATTTTTCACATGGCCCGACATTCCCAAATATATATGGGTAGTAGGACAGTGACCACGCATCTTCTGTTGCCACCCATCAGGAATGCGCCATTGGAATATTTTCAAGAAGAGTCACCATATGGCTTGGTTCATCTCATGAGAGGTAGAAAAGCTCAGGCTCTGTCTTCATAATGACAGAACCAAATGCTGTGTCCAATGTGGCTATCTCTTTAAAAAGCTACAAGAATATGGGGTGGTGCAGGGGCACCTCAACCAGGGAGGCTGACTTCAAATTACCAGACACATCTATTATGAAGTGTTGAAAGGAGAAAGAAAAACAAATAATAAAGTTACAAAATAAAGTTTATTTTATCAAAATTAAAACTGCTTCCTTCTCTCCACTTGAGAGTAACCCTGAGATGGAACAGTCTGAGGATTACATTGCTATAACCCCTTAGCAGCTAGTTTCACAGCGGGAGGTGCCTGCTACAGACAAAATTATAGGGTTAAGAATGTTCACAATTCAGTGACCCAATTGGCTGACTATTCCTCAGAGCTTTAGAATCAAATATTTATACATCTAAATGGGAGCAGAGAAAGGAAAATGGTTCATAAAGAGAGTCCCAGAGCATGTATTATTGAAATAACAGATGGAAATATTATATTTTTGAAACATTCTTTCTATAAAGAAATCTTTTGAAGTGTGTTTTGGTAGGATAAACTAAGCCAAAAGTGGAGGAGAGAGGGGGAGGAAAAAAAAAAAAAAGGTTTTATTTGCAAATGTTTGGTGTCAGCAGAGTACAAAGTTAGCACTTCCCAAAAAAAAGGCATGTCCCAAATTGCACTGCAGCACAATGTGTTTGCAAAGTCTCTACTTCACATAACATTCCCAGGGGAGAAATACTTCAGAATTCACTTGATTAATGCTGCTCAGTTTGTGTGTAGAGTCTCCTGAACCTTGACTTCTGACATCTTTGCAGAGGGTGTATGTCTTCTCACCATTGAATTTTTCATGTTTCCTTAAATGATTGAAACCCAAGCTAAGACTCAGGACATCATCTCAGAAAAGCTGTTGGCCACCTCACACTTGCTGAGATTTGGGTAAGAAGTAGATTTGAATTGTAGATTTTATGCCACATGGTCAGTATTGATGGGTTGTCTAATCAGAATTTACAGAATAAAAATGGAGACATGCAATATAGGGCAGAAAAAGCAAGCAAGCAGGCAGAAGGCCAAATGAAAAATTCATCACACTTCCTTTGTTTTCCTGTACATAGAAGCCTGTACCCATGACAGAATCAACAGTTCAGAATTATTCTGTTGTCTTTCCAGGAAAAATATCCCATTACCAAGCAATCAATTTGAAGTGCTCCATGGTTAGTCCAATTTCTCCATCATTCAGCTCTCAAGACATGGTTCAGTTAGCCTGCTGGTCTCAGCTATTAACTGGATCTGCCACGTGATGATGTGATTTAATGCATGGCAACTGGTGATTACTCTGGTCAAAAGAAGAGAGAGAATCCACAGGAACAAAATTATTTTGACCTTGTATCCAGACATGCTCTATATCTGTGACAGAGATCTGAAGGCAATTCCTCGTTGAGTCTATTCTCAGAGGGAACACAAAGAAGTGTAGCCTGGGAAAAGGGAAAATGATTGGGAGGCAAGAACACAGAAACTGCCAGTTCTCTTTCCTGTTGAAGTCCAGGCTATTATTGATAGATTTGCTGTTCGGGTGACCTAGGTATTGGTAAGAGTTTTGGGATTTGGTGTTTGTATACATGCCCTTAGCACCAAATGATAGGCAGTTGGTATCAGGTAATCCAGTCATCTGTGACTTCTGAAAAATCATGGTCAACAATCAGATGGCAACTTCTGCCAAAAGAAAGAAACAAGAAAGAGAAAAAGAGATAGCAACTCATTCCCACCCTCTGGCGGGGCCACCTCAGAGAAAATCAAGAAAATCTCTTTAGCGATGGCTCCTTGGGTGATAGCATCTGCTCAGGGAGTTGACTCAGAGAGGCTCCAAAGCTCAGAGCTCCAGCCAGCAGCAGAAAGGACTCTTGGCAGAGCTGTTTCCTGTACCTCTTTTGATCAGAAGGCTCAGGCTTGGAAAGGTTCTCACCAGTCTTGTGGTTTCCTGGTCGTGCGTCAGTACATTCTGGCTGAAACACTTCACCCCCTTCAGGCCAGCCCCTCCGCCAGCGGCTCCCAGCCCCGTGGTTGGCTCTCTGCAGCTTTGAACTAGACTCCAAGGACACTGCTGGCTGCTGCACGAGCCTTGAATGAGAGGGCTTGCAGCTGGAATGTAGCCCTCCCCTCCTGTCACAGGGGGAAAAATATAAGAGTAAAACCGAAAATTCATAGAATCACAGGATATTAGAATCACTGAGTGGTTCCCACACAATCTCTTCTCCAATACGGTCTGCAATGAAATCACCTGGGCAACTGGTTAAAACAGAGAGAGTCCTCATCCAATCTCAGATCTTCTAAACCTGAATCTTGGAGTGGAGACTGGGAATCTGTGTTTTTGAGACTATCCTTGGCAATTCTTATACATAGTTACTGTCTAGTTTAATTTACTCAATGTCACAAATTAGGAAACTCAGGCCCCCCAAAAGTAATTAACGTTGCCAAGGTGAAATAGGTAGCCTAAATCCCATGTAGTTCTCTTTCCACTGTACCACATTGTTCTCCATTCTTCTTCTTTGTGATTCTGTAATTAAGGTTGGGTCTCATGCTTCCTAACTATATAGCCTTCCTGCACACTTTGATCTCACATATTTCTCTGAAAAGGACCCACTGTTTACATAAGGTCACATTCAAATTCCTCAACTCAGGTAGTAGTATTAATACAAAAAAAGGGGTAAGTTCAGAACAGCTGCCAGAAAAGGTAATGTTCATCTGTTCTTGATGAGAAGATTTATATAATCTAACCAGAGACACAAGTAGTTTCAATAGTTCACAAATGTAGAAAAAGGAATTCTTCTGACACGTAATGAGTGATAATTATATACAGTCATTCAAAATTTCCAGGCTTATTTATAGAACAATTTATTTCTATTGGGTGGTTTGGGGTACAGTACAAAGTAGGTTGAGCAGAAGACCAAAAGATTTCCCAGCGAAAATGACTTATTTTCTTCTAAAAGCTGAATGATCTTAGAAACAATAAATTTTGGAATGCATCAGAACCATCATAAGCTGAGTAGCACCAGGAATGGTACACGCTTTATCATTTCTGTGTTTATACACCAGAGTTTGGACCATGCCAGGAGTCACAGACTAGCTCAGAGAAGCCATAATACCATGTAATTAAGTACTTAATTGTGTATGCATAGAAGAAACTTTCCAAAGAATGCAAGCATAAAATTGTGGTTGACAGTACAACTTCTGGAGTCAGGTAGATCTGAATCAAAATCCCAGATCTACTTACTACCTGTGTGGCCTTGAGGAAGTTATTTAACTTCTTTAAGTCTTAATTTCCTCATCTATAAAATGAAACCTGACAGGGCTCTTAAGAATATTAAAGCGTGGTGGGAGTTGGGGAGGGTACTGGGGAACAGGTTCTGAGTTACTGAAGAAAACAACAGGCAAAGGGAAAAATTCAGATAAAACAAAGTCATCCAAGGAGAAATACATCTAGACTAATACGGCTAAAAGAATAATAAACTAAAAATATTTGTATCATAATTAACCTAAACTGTCAATCTGAGTTTTGTCAACAAAATCTTCAGAGTTCTGCACCCACAGACAAACGCTAAGCAAACCTAGGAGTATGTAAAGATTGTTGAATATGACTGAAATACATGCACTGGATAAGTCCCATGAAATTAAGGAGTTATATAGGTTTTGTTCACTCCTAAACCCAGTGTTTAGTTGTGGAATGAATAAATGAGTTGGTGGGATCTAATATGGATCAAAATCTTGATACCACAATAGGGGAGGAGGCCATGAATACATAATGAGTATACCAATATCTCTACACCTTCCGCATGACTGTCCATCCTGTGTTCAGCTATGCTGATTGTCAATTCTGTTGGCCATGACAGCTAAAGGATGAAGCCCAGGTGCTGCTGTAGGAACAGAGCAGATTCCTTGTTATATTGCTAAAATGCCTCAAACTCTGTATTGGTACCAATGAACCTGGGCAACAACTATTTAGAAAGAAGTTCTGATATTAGTAACAAATTGCCTAATAAATAGAAGACATTACTGTTATTGTCTCAAATTAGATGGCATGCCAAGAGAGCCATAAACTTGTCCTGAACATTTCGAAAGCATTGCTACAAGGTAGAGGCAATTTGGTGGATAGGTGTGAGAAGTAAACAGCAATTTAATAAATCCTTCTTGTACTAGAGTTGAAGTCTAAAGCCATTAAATGGATGGAAGGAAGGAAGGAAGGAAGGAAATTATACCAACAAAGAGAGCATAGGATCATACTTACAAAATGCAAGTAAGCTAAAACGTGTGGGTGTTTTCTAACTTATATTCTCTTAAAATATCATTAGCTTAGCAAATAAAATTAATCACTATAAAAGTAATCAAATTGTCACAAAGAACAAGAGAAGCTCCCTCTTCACAGCTCGCTGCTGTGTGTCCAGTGCCTTAGTCAGCGGAAGTGATATGGGATACTGGTCATGAGCCCAAGCTCTGGGTGAGAGAGAGGAAGGTTAGTTCTGCCCCTTTCCAGTTCTGTGACTTCAAACAAGCCACTTATCCTGACTGTGCCTCAACTGTTTTTATTTTTCTGCACAAGAAATATAATAAATACATAGCTTACAGGATTTTTGTAAAGTTTGAATTTCATAATAAATCTCTGAACTTGGTACATTCTAAAGGCTCAACAAATAGTAACTATCATTTTCATCATCGTCATCATCATTATTACTGTGATACTGAAATATCTGTTTTATCATTTAAAAATGCATATGTGAGTTGGTGTGGAATATGGAGTTGGGAAATGTTTTCATTACTGGAGCCCCTGGGAAGAAGATCTAAAAGCTCTGTTTCCCTGTGGCAGTTGAGGTGATTATACTTAGCTTTCATATATATGATATATATATGATATATATATATATATGATATATATATATATATCCTTATGCTTACAAACTACATGCAACTTTGACTATCCTTTGCAATCGAGCTTCTGGTTACACACAGCAGATTTTACCTTTTGCTGATAGAGCAACTAAGGCAAAGAAAAATGAAATACTTGGCCTGGGATCATAAGATGAGCCATAATTATCATAATTTCTCAAATCCCAGTCCTGGGTTTAGCCAAACAATCTAGGGTTTCCATGGGGTTTAAGAGTGAGTCAACCCTAGAGATATTTGGGACAATTTTAAAACAACTAAAGTATATTTTGCATTCCTTATTTTGTACAAAAGAGTGAACTAAAACAGAGTAATGGAGAATACAAGCAGTGTAACTAAGGAGGTAAGGATTCTTTTAGGTTCTGCTGTAAAGACAAAGTAGATTTGATTCAAGAGCTATAGGAGGATTAGTCTGCCAACAGCAAATGGAAAAAGTGAGGTCAGTTTTAGAGAAAAAATAATTAACATAGTCTGTGTAGTTACTAAGGTGTTTGCATGAAGGCCTAAAAATCTTTAAATAAAATAAGAAACACAGAGAGGCAAGAGAATACAATAGGAAGAATGTGGAAATAGGAATAAGGAGACCTAGCTCTGTCCATTATGAATTGAGCTGCTTTATATCACATAGTTGCTAAAAAGAGGATTTCTATTGTAAGCCTACAGAATGGTTAAGATGCAATACTAGTGTTTTAAAAGGTAATAATAATATACACACATTAGGTATTGTTGAAATTTACTTATTAGGAAACATTGATATTTGATATTACCACTCTCCTCCCCACCAAAATAAATAAATAAATAAAATCCCCTGGAAAATAATGCAGCCTTAAATTCCATTCTTCTTTACCCACAATAGATGTTTATTAACCACTAGCTACTAGATGTTATACAGGATTTAAAGACCTACAAAACATGAATTCTACCCTTGGAAAATTTAGTTGAAGGATAAAAGATAAAAGGCATATAATGATAGAAAGATAAATCAAGGCATTATTTCATAAATGAGCAAAAGATTTCTAGAGAAGGCTACTGTAAAAATTTATTCATACTGATTAAAGCTGGAATAGTCAAGAAAAGCAAAATAAAAGGAAGTTGGGTTTCAGATCAGACATGGAGGATTTAAATGGTTAAAATGTAAGTGTGGTGTTTTTTCCATAAAGCGGAAGAGTTAGAAATTTGCCCTACAGACACTGGGGAGTACCTAAAAATTTTTGAATAAGAACAATTCTTTAAGAAGACTCATTTAGCAGTGGCAGTTTGAAAAGAGAGTAAAAGCAAGGAAACTCATTAGGAGATAGTTTTAACAATTAAAATACAGAAACAAGGGCCTGAAAAACAGTGGTGTCTATGGAAACTAAAAGAAAAGAAAGTATATGAGAGATATTTAGAAAGATTTCTTGAAAAAATATCTATAAAATCAGAGACAATTGATTTAGTAGAGAAAATGAAGATTAAAATCAAAATTAAGCAGAAGAGACTATGGTTTCAAGCCTCAGTTTGGAAAAACATGGTACCATCTACAGACATAGGATGTCGAAAGGAGAATGTACTAGTAACTTTAAAGAACAGAATTTTCAGCACAGTGCTCTAGGAGTGGCAAGAAATGAGTACTGACAGATACACTCAGAGATGTTGCAAGAAATCAAGGGTGGTTTAGAGAAAATCAGAGAGTAGGAACCAAAAATTTAGGGCTTTATTTAGCAAATTTCAATTGCCTGTAAATATGCTACCTTCCTTAGAGAGCAGGCATCATCCACCATGACCTAAGCAGACATATCAACATTATGTGTCCTTAGAAAAACAAAGAGCTAAATTTGCTGAGAAGTTATCAAAGCCTGGGTGCCCTAATGTCTTTCATAGTGTGTGTGGAATATATATACCAATAGATTTTCTTTTGTTATAGTACATTCTAAGAATGATGATGTGTTATCCTAATAACTCATGACAAATACCTTAATAACTATGGTAGGCAGAGTAATGGTGCCCCAAAGATGTTCATATCCTAACCCCTGGAATCTGTGAATATGTTGCCTTACATTACAAGAGGATCTTTGCAGAGGTGACAAAGTTAAGGACCTTGAGATGGGGAGGTTACACTGGATTACCCAGTAGGGTCAGGAAAGTCAGAGTCAGGAGAGATTCGAAGATGCTTTTGAATTTGAAGATTTAAAGAGTAGCCATAAGCCAAAGAATGCAAACAACCTTAAAAGCTGGAAAGGGCAAAG